GATATGATAGTGTAGGTGAGTACTTGGAATCATTCTGTCAAGAGTAATCAAAAAGCAATTTAAGAGTACACAGATTACATTAGTGAGTTCTTGAAATCCAGCAGATGACTGCGCTATTGTCATGTATTAGTTCTCTGGAGAAAGCATATCAGACACACTAACAGACGGTGGACACACAGTGAAACCACAGGTATTCCCACTATAGACATCCTTTATCTCCATCTGCATCCATGTATTGTTGACCTGGAGCAGGAACTTTGGGGTTGCTGTGATGAGACACAGGGAGAGGGAAGTTAGCGCTGGCAAAGAAAAGCCACAGTCAGGCATTTCTGGAGTAAGATAAGAAGAGAGCGGCATGAAAGGAAACACTAAAATAACAAAAAGCCACTCGGGGATATGTGATTACTGTGACAACACATTTTTCTGTTTTCGCCAGGTTTTGAAATATGGCAGCTTTTTAATCACCACACACAATGAGGTGATAAGTGATACAGACATTTATCATCCACTAAGGTGGGCAGCACAGTATGTCCCACTCCAGTCATGTTACTTTAACCCCTGAGGCACAACAATGTACAAGACATGTGTGGCACGGACAGGTACTGCAGCTGGGTATAAAGCTCTGAGTATCCCGTGTCAGTCCCTTTGTTTGCTTTTTTGATTTATTGCTGACCATGCCCCACCTAACATGTGCGGAGGAGAGCCTGCCCCCCTCCTATCAACACCTTTCCCCACATAAATTTTTTTTAATGCCTGGGGGTCTTACTCTCTCCCTTCTGTTGGAATTCTCCCTGCTGATAAGACGACTGGGACGTTTCATCCACATACTCCCATCTCAACACATACTGACTCACAGACCCAGTATAAACCACCAACACATCTGCTGGTCCTTTGGTATTCGTCCACACATGGGCCACAAGTGAGAGACCAACAACATGAGTCAGAAGATAAAATGGTGATTAAAGGCACACAGATTCATACTGTAGCAAATCGATGATACTGCTGAGGCGAGTTGGCTTTGAGCGAACAGTGACACAGAGGGCTCTTCAGATTCAGTAAACAATAACACACTGTATGATGGTTAGCTAAAGAGAACCAAAAATAAATCTTGTTCCCAGTTTCTTTTTGTAGATCATATTATAACAGTGGTAAAATGAAACAATGTCAAAGGCCCATTTAACAGTTCTTTTTTTTAAATATAAAACTGGCTCTCATATGATATTAGAATTTAGCTTCTCTCTTTATATATACTGTATGTAAATATATGGTAAATGGTCTTATACATGTATTGCACTTTTCTATACATTGCAGCACACTCAAAGTGCTTTCACACTATTTGCCCATTCCCACACTAGTGACAAAGGTCCACTGAGTGGCTGCCTCTCCTTTGCAGGGATGTGCTGTTCACATTCACACTTGGAGGCGGCCCAGTACAACCACAGACTGACCTGTGGCCACTGAGCAGCTCTACTGGAGCAGTTGGGGTTAAGGGCCTTGCTCAAGGGCACCATGGTGGTGTTCATGACGGAGACAAACACTGCTTTTAGGTTAAAGCAGTAGTTTAACATTTTGGGAAATAAGCTGGGAGGAACACTCTATATGTTTCATATTAAGTTACAGCTAGCAGCTGTTTAGCTTAGCTAGGCTTAGCAATAAGAGTAGATACAGGGGGAGACAGCTTAGCAAATGAGATATAATGTGTTAAGTAAACTTCAGTGGAGCTTTGCACAGAGCTGCCTGCTTTCTCCTTCAACTCTAGTCAACAATGCAAATAAGTACATTAATTATTGCTACAACTAAGATCAGTCCGTTGTTCAGCAACAGACTCTCCAGTATAAATGGAAACTGTCCATTTACAACTGTGACCCTTACTGATAAAAATAATGTTGGAATATTTTTATCTTAAACGCCTGACCACCAGCCAACAATATCAACATACTTGGCTCAAGCGCAAACATGCAGGGAGCAACTGTGTCACAACTGCAGCTGTCTCGGGCGAAGGGGCATCAGACCATGGCTGGGCAAGCTGACCGCCCACCCTGAGCATCTGTGCCCAGTCACACAAGCTGGCATCTAGTGACTATGCCAAGGGAGGAGTACAGGTTTGACTTGGGAAAACACAAGCTGTAAAGTACACCCACACAGACTGACACTGTACCTTCTCTTCTATTGTCTTTTATCCATGAAAACATTAAAATAAGCAGCTGCCATCCATGTAGTGTTGCCAAATATTGCTCGGAGTGTTCCTGGGCTACAGTCTGAATGTTTATGATATGTATTCACATCCACAGACAGATTTTTTTCATCAGCACAATAGGATGAGTTCCTCTCTCGCGCGCTTTCAAAAGACTAATATTAATACAGACATAAGCAATGCTTTGGAAGTGAAGCTATGCTGCTACACTGAGGAGCCCTGCCTCCTCCTCCCTCTCACCCCAGTGTCGAAGATCTGTTAGTCAGGGGCTGGGGAGTTTTTAGTCTCCAGGGGCATATCCCTCTGATTCGCCTGCCAAGCTTCTCCGCTCCCTCTTCCATCCTCTCTCTTGCTCTGCTCTCTTTCTTTGTTCCCCTCTTGGTCCCCTCTCCCCACTTCTTCCACTCCTCATGTTCAACATTCTCCTTCACTTCAGCCTCATTTCAACTTCCATCATTTATTTCTACTTTCTCTCCAACAATGGCGCTTTTCGCTTTCACACTCTTATCTGTTTTCTCCTCTCTACTCTTCCATTCCTCTTCCTCTACCAGTGATCCAGCTCCTTTGCAGCCGTGCATAATTAGGCCCTAACACAAGCCTGTGCAGTCTCACATCTGGAAGGAGTTTGGACATGGCAGTTTCCTACCAAGACGACTAAATATTTAGGTTGAGAGTTACTGCGTGTGGATGAACTCATGATAGAGGGGGTTGGAAGGGGAGAGAAATGGGGAGCTAGAGATAAAGGAAAAAGAGTGAAAGTGGGGCAGACGACCAGAGTTCACTGTGGAAGGCTGAGAACAGCATAATGCATCATTACAGCAGTGATAGGTGTGAGTTTATAGAAGTGCTGCAGGGTATAATCTGACACTGAAATATATTCAAAGTGCAGCACAGAATCTGACAAGCCATAGGAAGAGGTGACAATACTGGAGCAACCGGTTGCTCCTTTATGGCTGGCAGAAACAACAAACAACCAACTAATAGCTTTAAAAAACAAATCCCTGTTGGGATTTCCCATGAGGCTGAGGGGCCTCAGCTGGAATGTTCACAGGGGCCAGCTGTTGTGCATGACACGTATCAGCCAGCCCCGGAAGCCCTGGATTGGTGGCTTCCAACTCTTGCCTGCTCTGGGTGCAGGAGAGCATTCCTCCAGGCTGGCCCAGAAGAGAAGGCAATGGGGCTGGCTATCAGGCCATGTAGGCCGTGGAGAAAACCTCCTTGCACCTGGGATACTGTCTGCAGTCTCTGAGAAGACTGAGGAATGTCAGGGATAACATGAATATCAACACAACTTCTCACATTCCACATCTGGACCTAATGTCATGAGCAACAGTGGGAGCACAGGCTTGAGGAACTTTTTGAATCTTTAGGAAAAAGAACTTTCCAGATGTCAGAGTTCCCTTGAAATGTAAAGAAAATGGCAGATTACGGGTGGCATTGTTTGTTCCTTGTAGAGGAGCATAGACGTGTCACAGAATGCTAGACATCTGTAGAGAAACAACTCAACCAAAATTAGAAGGTGCAGGGATGGAAGATTATCTTCAATCACCTCGACCACTGCCACCCAAGCCATTTTTTCCTCTGGATTTCAGCAATGTGCTCCCCAGATGTTTATCCTGCCTTTATTAAGCAAGAAACATAAGGCTCTATAAATGGGCTGCTGGCTGGCTGTGGCTCTCCTGGGGCATAAATCCCCTTAGTTTACCTCATATGCTCTCTGCAGTGGAGCAGTTGAACACTTTTTTTAATACTGTGCCCATGTGCTGCTAACATTTCTCCTTTTGGGTTATAGTACAGAGACGACACCCTGTGGGAACGAACAATGCCTCCAGAAAGTCTGAGCAGCTGTGAAGAAAATCGTGCATTTGAAGTGAGCAAATAGTGCATCCATCATGAAAGATAGTGTGTTTTGGCACATTATGTGGTCCTTTCAAGCTTTGTCCAAATACCACTTACAAATAAATGCTTTATAAAAAAAAAAGGGGGGAAAAATCATCAAACTAAGTTGGCCCAGAATCATTGCTGTCCAGTTCTCACCAAATGGTTGTGTTATTTTCTGTCCTCACCAAAAGGTGATTGTAAGAGAGGGTGTTGTGATATTAAAAGTTTGAGCCAACCCACCAGCAAATCACGGAGCCTGATATAAAATGGTCAAAATGTGTTTCTGTTTATTCTACTTTTGCAAGGCCAGGTCAGCTGGACCATGTGCACAGGGTGGTGTTGGAGGGAGAAAGAGGGAGCTGAACTCCAAGCGCCTCACTGGGTCAGAGTCCATTTTAAAGTGACAGAGTTGTGTCAGAGAGGCAGGGCCATGATGACAGCTACAGTCAGCCTGCCCTCACACTGATCTTAATGCTTCACAGAGATCAGATCAAGATGTAAACTTCTGACCTAACAAGCGCTATTACTGCAGCAAGTCCTCAGTATAGATAAAATCAAGCTCAGAGGGTCAGAGCCATGAGTGTGTGGGCCTGATCAACATAGTCACCTCTAATGTAAACCTATAGTTTTTATGTCATATCGGGTATTTTTATGTGAATTACACATTTATCACTGAACATTCAACTCACCCAATTAAATCAGACAGTTAAACAAATTATGTCATCTTAAAATGCAGGTGACTGGAAAATACCTTTTCCCCCAAAACGTCTTTATAGGACATTATAAGAAGAGTGTAGTGACAGCAGAGGACATGCAGGTGACACTCCCTGTCACAGGCACAACCTACAGTAGGCCACAGTAATAATATAGTGACATATCATTAGCTCAGAGGTTACACTGAACTTGGGGGACTGTTCCAACTCACAGGGTGACGGTCCTGTTGGGGAGCAGGCTGGCCTCTGGAGGTTCCGTCAGCTCCCCCTTGCTGCAGCTGACTCTTTTCCCCACAGTTTGGACACCGTGCATTTTGGACCGCTCGTCCTTGCAGCTGCAGCCGCTGGTGGAGGCGAGCAGCCCGGGACAAGCCTGGGAGAGCCTCGGTTCCGAGGCGGAGAGCAGGAGCAGCATCAGTACCAGACGCCCCGGCAGCAAAGGGATGCCAACGCCGGACGCAAACATTGTCCCTCGGCTGGCTCTCACCTCAGCTGCACCCCCGCCTCCAGTCATCCCATATTTCCACCATGAAGCTTCCAGATGGTGTAAGGAGATCAAGGAAATGCAAAGTGATCTTTCAGGTTTTGAATGAATGGTAAAGTTGGAGATCCTCTGCTCAACAATGAACGTACATCATTCGCTCATACTAGAAATAGCGTGCCGTTATTTCATGGCAGGACGGGCGCACAACTCCCTTTGGTCCAAATGGTTAATAAATCCAAGCCCATCCAAACGTCTTCACCGCCTACAAAGAGGAGTACTGTCTTAAAAAGTTGCTGGTCGTATTAATTAGCTTCAGAAAGTTACATCACTTTTATGATACTTGGGAGGGTCCAGATTACCATTATTACCCCCTCTAAAATTAATCCAGGGGTCGATGACTGAGCAGTCACAGCCAGAGCCACGATCGCACGTCATCTATATGAGGAAAAAGGTATATTCTCAAACTCCTGTCAGTTGTTTCGCTGCTCTTAAAAGTTCCCTCAGTCTCTTCCCTGGTCTCCTAGGTCTCCGTAGACTTTAGCTCAAGCGCAACTTAAATTTAAACGGGAGGGAATAACTACTGACACGGACAAGAAGTGAGCTGGTTTGGCTGCTGTGTAATTCCCAAAATCTAGCGGTTTTGCCTGCCTGCCTCTGTCATACTCAAACTCACTTAGTTACAACCCAAAGTGCGCACGTTCCGTGCACGAGTGCGCTCTGGTCCCCGCGGTCCTAGCGCATCCAGCCCGGTCAGAAAAGGAAAGGAGGTTGTATAGTGTACAGGATGCGATCAGTTGTTAAACCCCCCCCGAGCTGACATTACACACGTTCATCAAGACACAACCGGTCACTGTTGTTTTGCTGCTTTTTTATTTGAGCCGGCTGTTTCCATCCAGGCTGTACAAAACAAGAAAGCCTTCATTTCTGTGCGCGCCTGCTTTGGGAGAGCAAACTAAAGTTATGAATGAGCCTAAAGGCCTCTTGTGTATGGCGCGTTTCATTAGATCAAAGGTTTTTCATTCAATCAGCAGGCAGTAAAGACCTTTATAACTGCACTCCAGCAGATTTTATATTGCTACGCAGAAAGAGCACAGCCAGAGTTTGATCTTGAAAATGCAGGAGACTGGAGCACATGTAGACTTTGACATATTTTTGTCTTACTGAAACAACAGTTTTTATGCCAACTTGGAGGCCCTGGGTAACAGCAAGCTGCCCCTAAAACACTGCAACAGATAATGCAGGTACTGTACTTTAATACAAGTATTTATGTTGTGATGAATTCAGTTACACAGTTGCTGGTGCAATAGAAATGACCTGTGAATGAAGCCCAACTCAAATTAGCTAAGAGTGAAAGTGTTTTTCTTTGCTTATCATATGTTGTTTGTGTTGTCAAAGGAGATATATGTGGGCTAAAAGATCTTTGGCAAGTTGACACTTCGCCAACAGGAACCAACTGCTTAGATTGAGACACAAAGATTTTCCAAAAACTCAAAACAGTGTTGAAAGAATAACATTTTTAAAATAAGGCATTTTCTCTGAAAGACTCGTGCTCAATCTAAAAAAAATTACAATGCATCATAAACCTCCTCAAGGTCTCCTTTTCACATCGTTGCCCTTGTGTATGGAAAGTTCCCAAAACACAGCAATGGATTTCAGTTTTAAAAATACGTTTTGATATATGGGAGGCGCCACAGGATGGAGACTGTTCAAATCTGGAGTATTTCCAAATATGCAAAGGTGAAGCAGGAACGCTTTTGAAAGGGGACTTTATGAAATTGGGTTTGACATGTATTCATCGACATAGCCAAACTGCAGGCACCTCAGTCATGCGAACACGCCCGGCAGCATAATGGCGCACTGTGCTCTGACCCATACAGTGGACCCTGGGTTTGTTATTCCTGTATATGATACTGTACGCTGGAGAGGGCTCAAAAACCAGTACGAATATTGAAAGAAAGCACAAAGAGTGAAAGGGCGCCTGCTCAGCAATGAAACAGAGAGCTGTTTATTCAAGCTGTTAAATAAGGCTTCAAGTACAACACCCCCCTCTGACTCCACAAGGTCCAAATCTCTCTCATCTGGAGAGCAGTTTCCATTTAAAATGTCACGTCCCGAACTGCACATTACATCAAATTGTACTTAATGGTACCCAGACAAACTTTAATGTCGTTCCAACATTTTCTCTATGCATCCAATAGCCCCTTGACTCCTTACAGCCAAGTAAGCAATCTGTCCTTCTCCCTGTTCCACATCTGGACTGCATTCCAGGTGAGGTACTGAGAAAGGTATGGTGGGGGGGGGTGTTAGTGAAAGCTATAGCAGCTTTTGGAATATATGGAATAGATGACAGATGGCATGAGTGATGAAAAGATAAGTGATACAACTGATGGGTCCTCTTGGGCATGTTACTGTTGTCCCTCAAATCACACGTTAGAGCAGAAAAATCTAAAAACAGGTTTAGAGATGTGAGCCAGACCAAGTGACTACTGAGACTGAGCCACAGCCCAGGCTCGTGTCTCTGCCAGTGGATAAACAAAAGAAAACTTCCAGTGGGGAAGCAAACATCAGGCTGTCTGTCAGGCCCTCATCTGTAGATGAGTCTTTCTTGAGGCACCCATGACATCTAGTGGTGTAATCAGCAGCATGCAGAGGCCCCTCCCTACTGAAACCACTGTCCATCCACCAGTCAGTCCCACAGCTCTGGGCATTTCCTGGATGAATGGTTTTAATTAAGGTTTCATGAGAACATTAAACCCAGCATGCCCACAATTTTTGGTTGTCAAATCATAATGTTCCATATTTTTCCAGCATTAAAAACCACTGTCATTCATTAAGATTTATTAGTAGCAGTAAGAGCAGGGGTGTTAAATCCAATTGTTTTTAATGTAGTTCTACTTTTCCTCCCTCATTCGCCAGCCTTTGCAAAATTGACACTGTAGTAATACAGTCCTTTTCTGGTTAGTGAGTTACCATCACTATGATATGCGATAGGATATACAATGTGAAATGTGCCATTCTGCATGACCAGTTTTAGTACTTTGGAACGAGAACTTTTCAGCCACCGGTCAACGTCACACTGAGAACCCTCTAAAGCATTCCCAGTTATCAAGTAACTCACCATGCTAGTATGCTAAACAGCCTGTTGGATGTGGGCAACACCCTACCTGTCAAACCTGTCTTCTTGGAACAGGATTGAGTCCTCTGACGACCCTGTACAACACCTGCTTATTCACAAAGATCTGCGTGCACTGTCCAACAGACCTAGTAGTAGATGAAAATGTGTGCCAAATAAATACCAGTAGGACAGTTGAGTTTTCATAAGCACTCGTGTAATCTGAAGGCAAATCAAAATAAAGGCAGGGCAGACATCACCAAAAAGGTATGAAACAATGAGGTAATCCCACTCTAAACACTTATTATTCCAACACAATTATCAGAAATGAAGAGGCTTCAGGTTGTGTGCGATTTTATTAAGTATCATATGAAATGCAAACAGTGTACCTTTGAGTACTGCTGTAACTGGACAAGTGCCATCATTAGCTGTTCTCATGTTAAAACGTCCCAGGCTACACTATGTACTTTAAACGGTCAATATCAAAGACCATTCAAAAACCTCAAAAATATCTGTATATTGAATGAATCTAATCCCTCATTAGCAACAAAACAAGTCAGCAAATATGTGTTTGCACCATTTCTACTCAAATTCTGCTTACAAAAAATATATAGCGAACACAAAGGATTGTGGTTTGACTAGTGCAAAACTCAAACTCCTTTATGTATATAACAACTTGGGACCCCCCCTCCATCCTCTGTGAGCCACCGTGTGCGCACACAGATGCAGAAGCCACACTTGTGTATGTGAAAGCATGCACCCACACACAGTGCTGTTGGTGTATAATACATTTTTATAATGGCATGCAGTAAAGGTGAGACTTTGGCCCCTCTGTGTTAGCAGGAGATTCAAATCATTATCCAGATCCTCAGAGAGCCAGTCCTGTGTTTGTATAAAATATTGGTATTCTTTAAATCTTAGTACAATGTGATGTGTCGAGTCCATAGAAGCTGTGCACAATTAGAGCCAAGAATAACCTGGAGACTGTGGAGGCAGGGCCGTGTGAAAAACAAAGCCCCAGTTGTCATAAAGTTATAAGGAAAGGCAAGGAAGTGAATCATAATGGAAAGTATTGTTAAATCTGATCAGAAGAGAAGACCCTCTCTATATCGTTGACCAGTGTCCACCTCCAGGCCCCATCCCAAGGTCTGCAACTGTGTCAGGTGTGGCGAGGCTTCAAGTGGACAAGTGGTACTCTACGTCCAGAGCGGGGCAGGTATGCGGTGGCAGACTCACTGGCGAGGGGACACTGTGGTTTGGGGGGGACTATTTGGACCTTGGTACCTCTGTTTGGCATGCTTTTCACAGTACATCACATTGCCAGCCCAAAAGTGACCTCTCATTCTGAGGTTAAGGCCACAATCTGCGCAGGTGTAGCACTCTGGGTGGCGAAAGTGGTTGCCTGTGATACGCACGGCCTGTGTGCTGTGGAAAGATGAACACAGAGACCAATAAGCTGCTGCTACTTTGGAATCATTCTGAAGAAAATGTGTACCTATAGGAGACAGACTTACACAATACTGGTGCCACATTTCTCACAGGTGTGGTATTTACTTCCTCCTCCTCCTCCTCCTCCTCCTCCTCCTCCTACTACTGCGGGGCTTGGTTTTGGAGCACTGGGTGAAAGTTTCCCTGGGAACTGCCGGGCTGCCTCTGGAATCAAACGCACCCACACACACAAACAGTGTTGGTCATAGGGATGATCTGACAGGTTTATATCTCCGTGTTCATCACATCAACACTCTCTTCACTGCCCTCTGTCAGAGGAGCTTAAGTTGGCCCTAGCTCATCGCCCAGGGGACACTCTTCATTGAGCGTGTTCCCACACACTGGTCATTATCATGTCATGAAAGTGTGCCATTACTATCTGGATTTATTTGCACCACCATTTATCAAAGCAAAGTGAGGAAAGGAGGACAGACACATTCAATGATATGCTGCTGACAATATGAATAGCACACTGCGGGGATATTTCCTGCATCCAGCAAAGGCAACAGCTGTATAGAAGTCACTAACCAGTAACATTTGACAAATCCTGAAAATTGAGACAAACCACCAGTACAAATCTGTAACATGTATGCAGTTTGACTCCTACTGCATGCGATCATGTTCAAACCATTTTCCAACAACTGTTTATCCTATGAAAGGTTGTATGTTTTAATTAGGAACATTCCAAACATATTTAAATTTGGCATTATCCATACATTACCATGTTTGATTGAAATGGATTAAGATGTGTTTCTGCACATACTGATCCATAGCTACTGCATTTCTGCAACAATACACACTTTCAATTACAAAAAATGAAACATCCTCTTTTTTTTCCCCAAATGTGCACATTAGTTTGTCTAACCTTTCTCATCAGCCTCCAGGACGTCTTGCAGCATTTTAAAGGTGCTGGACTGACGAGGCGCCGCACGGTACTCTTTATTCTCCTGGATCATCTTGTACACTTCTGAGTCCTTGTCGAATTTCTGCATGGTTGAGTCAGAGCTCACACTGCTGTAGAAGAAAGTACCAGAGGCGACAGATTAAAAACTGTAGTTTACATCAAACTCTTGGTGATCTGCTCTGAAATGGTTTTCTACAAGTTTCCTTGAGTTCGGTTTAACTGAATCCAGGTGAAATTAAAGAAGAGGCGTCAGCTGACAGACTTTGACCTCCAAGTATGAAGTCTAGACTGTACACAACAGGGAAGAGTCCAAACAGTGTCCAATCGAAAAGCATTTGCTCAGCAGGATCTCCCTCCTCTCACCTTACAACAAGCACTGTTTAACTGAGAACAAAATCTCAAGGCAAAAACAAAGAGGACCAAAAGCTAACAGTGGAAGTGATATACAGTAGCATGTGTGAACTCTGTTCCAACTTGAAACAACACTGGATTTCAGATACAACTGTCTACACTAAATGCATTACAAAGTCGCATGCCTTATCACAAAGTGTAATAAAAAAAATAATAAAAGGACCTAACTTCCAGCCTGGGGACGTGTAAGCTCTCAGCTAAAGGTGGTATACACCAACAGCCCATTAAGAAATCAGGCAAAAGAACAGCAGCTCACTTTACAAGCAAATTCTTTGCCCCTGGTGTGGTGGAAAAGTGCTTGCTTTTCACTACTTCCATATGTAATGTGTGGTTGAATACCTCTGCCTCCCTGCTCCTGATGAACAGAGACATGCCTTAGAATCTGGACCGCATTACTAAGTAGAAATGACCAGTCCAGGGTGTACCCTGCCTCTTGCCCACTGTCTGCTGGGATTGGCTCCAGTTGCCCCGGATAAGCGGTAAAGATAATGAATGGATGGCAAGTAAAAACATCAAGTACCTCATGTGGGCGTATTAGTCTGGAAGGAGTTGCTGAGTGTTTGCCATCAATAGGAACTGGTTGGCCGGGTACGCCAACCGGAACAGGTGTGGTTTGATGTGTTGTGCCTGTGGCCGACTTCGCAGCCAGATGCAATCATCCTAACCTGACTGTCCCTGCTGTCACATACAACACATCTGTTAAAATCTTTAGTGCTCAACTGACACTTGTGCTGTGAAGAATTTGCTTAGGAGATCATGGCCTCATCTATAATTGTAAACCATTTGTTACTGTGATTGAACATAGATGAATACTAGATTATCTTCACAGACCTATGAGGCCTTGGATTACAGTAGGTTAGGGTTGTTGTACAGAGTTGCACATCTGCACAAGTGTTTGCTCTGTACCCCGCACCACATTGGAAATAAATGACAACTGAGGACCAAGTGCAAAGTTTAAGTTTCTGTATGGGTGACAAGTGTGGGAATTTTAATACACAATCCCCCAGCTTCCTATAAAAGGACAAGTAAAACCTAACTGCAAGTCTATGGTATTTATGAACCATGGTCATTAGCAAATATTTTGTTCCCTCCCTGGTAATGCTCCGCCACTTCCGTACTGCAG